GCGTCCCGATCCAAACTCCATTCCAGTAGATGGCGGTAATGCACATCAATAAGTTGCTTGCCAAACGCCATAAAAAAAGAAGAAGAAGATTAATTAGCAGAGACATTTGTCAACCCCATGCTGTATTTTTATTGTTATGAGATAAATAAATAAAAAAAGACAAACACATCTTAATAAAACACTCTATCAAGCAATTGTGTCTTTAAAGAGATATTAGCAGCGTCCTTTGTTTCTTTAATATTAAGCCTACTGGCATATGTAATCTCATGAGCGCCTTATGTCTGTGTATAGTTTTCCTGTTCCCTCTAGAGATGTTATCTGTTAAGTCTTTAAAAGACTTAAAGCAACTTGTAAAAAAAAAAAGCTCTGATATGTATGCCAACAGAGGGTTTAAAGTAAGAAAAATAGAAACTGCAATGACAAAAGCATAAGGCAAAGAAAGAATGGTGCAATATTTAGAACACATGAACAGAAAAAAAGCTAAAGAAAGTCTTCCTTGGAAATGTCAAAGATTTCTGCTTAAATGTGTATTTGTATGTAAAGTTCGTAAACTGATTAACTTCAGTGTGTAGTTAGTACACATACTGATCAGCCTCAGACATGCTGGGTTGACAATCACTCGAGCCATCTTGACTAAGCATAAACCTGAACACATACAGATATGAAACAAGCTGAAAATCCCTGTTTTGTGTCTGGGAACAGAGGAAAAAAACACAAGTAAATCTACTGCCTGCACCCAAACAGACATTAGAAGGTTGGTGTTCATCAGCCTCCTTAATCATTTAAGCCCAACTGGTGGCAGTCTGTACAGTCAATTACTTTTTGCTCTTATGCCTCTGACTCTTGTTTGATTTTAGTTTGAGCAAGGTATACTAAATAGCAGCCAAATTCAATTAAATATCAATTAGTAAACAGCTATCCATCTATGGAAGCCCAGCTGCTGCATCATTGTCTCTGAATTTGGAGCAATCCCTGATCATGAGCAAAAAAGGAAAGGAAAGGTGCGCTTTCTTCACAGGATGGCATTTATTAAAGAGGGAGGAACACAGAGACAATATAAAATACAGCAAACAGAAGAAAAATGTGAGCTCCAATACGCACAAAACAAGACACTGCCACAAGGGGTCACCACTTCCACAGAATGGAGACTATAGTCAGTACAATATTACAATTATTAGACGTTTGCCTGTTAAAAAAGGACAAAATTATGGCCTAAATATATGTCTAAATTCTGTTGTTTGTAGCCCAGGGATTAATAGGTATTTTCTTTGGTAGTTCTTTCGATGAATTATGACAAATATTAGATATGAACACTATCAAATCCCCAGTTCCATTTAATTAACTTATATAGATCTCCTAAAACTTTGAGTTACACTTGTGTTGGTTCAGATTTCCATTCAGACAGGCAAACTTATAAAATATTTTTAGATTATGACCTCTGGTCCATAATTATAGAAATAGAAAGCCAAAACATAATCTGTCAAATAATGATTAAATGTAAAATAAGAAGAGATAGATAAGTTGAAATCTAATTTATACACCGTATAATATGATATGTAATTACTTACAGACTATAGCAGAATTTGTTGTAATACTTCATATTACTTATATATATATATATATATATATATATATATATATATATATATATATATATATATATATATATAGACAAGCAAATGAACAGTTATCACTGCAAGCATTGATTATTTATCAAATAATTGTATTGCCATCACAATTCGATTTTGAGAATGAACTCTCACCTCTTACAATAAAATCTAATTTGATTCCACATTTTCATTTCAGCTACACTTTCAGCAGCCCATCAAAGGAATTTTGAATGGATCTCAGTCACCAGCTCCCTCTAAATCAGATTTACTAAAGAAAGGTTTATTACTGGTGGTTTTATCAAATGTTATCCAACTCAGGCTTTTCTTGATACCAAAACTATTGCATTATCTGTGAGGATAGTTTTCCAGCAGACTCTTTCAAAAGATCCCAATTAACAATAAAACCACCTAGAAATCGACTGTCTCTAATTTGTGATGAGTAAAAATAAAAATCAGTAAAATAACATATTGTGTTTTATTTATCATTAACACTAAAGACATTCTACTCTACTTTAAAGAGTTTAGATAAATCAAACCTTTATCTCTGATTCAGAGGAAACATTGAACATGTGCTTATGAAGTTCAGATATATACATTAAAGAGGATTGCTTTATTTATTAAAAAAATTGCTAAAACAACATTTGATCCATTTTGGATGTTTGATGATAATCTAATATGCAGAAAAGTATTTTGTTTAAAGCCTGAAACTGTTTAGAGGACAGAGCTGGATTGGAAAGGACTGCAGCAGAAGGAAGCAGAAGACCAAACTAATCAGACACAAACTTGCTGTACTCTGTGAGGACAGGAGCTAACTGGAGAACTCCTGTTGGACTGTAACGAGGGGGGAGTCCAGAGATCATGTTTTCTCAGTTGATTACTTACCTCAAATTCACCTCTCGATCGATTTTTATATATTCCTATCTGTACCCTATGTGATAGAGATAAGTCTTAAACTCAATTTTTACTTTTGGTTTAGATCAAACAGATAAACACAGAGAATTTAGGAGGCTTCAAGATGTCTAAATTTAAATCCCTCCCTTACGAATCTTACAGCAGTCCCTATAGAGGCCTTTGACATACATTTGCATTACAACATCAACCTTAATCAGCACTAAAAATATAATTCTTTTAATAAATTTTGACTGTTTTATGTTTTTGGTCACACGTTAAATGTTTCAAATCATCAAACGAACGTCATTTTGTACAAAAGATAACCTGAATGATAACGAAAGGCAAAGGAAAAAACATATCCAAACAATCTGCTGGATAAATGAAGCCTTGGCTGAAGTTCAACTGCAGAAACTAAATGACCTGCCCTCTTCATGAGAGGCTCACCTTCCACTAATCCAAACCAATAAGCTTTGAACCACCCCTAAACGAAACCCAATCAGCATCCAGAGTTCATTTGAAAAGGTCTTCAAATCCACGACTCCACCTGCTGCCCAGCCAACCACAAGCAGTGGTTGAGCTATGTCTGATTTTAACTCACATAACCCGATTGAACCCACCTCCATCCCCTTCTCCACCATTACTAAGCTCCATCTGGCTTTTCCATGGTGCTTTTTCAACCTCGTCCCTATCAGAGTGTAATTCCTCCGAGACTCGGCATTCCCTATCACATCTCAACCGGTCGCTTCATGTTGCTTCATGCTTGCTCATCATGGACAGGTTCATGCAAACCTGTGTATCCAAGCTGGACATCTATCTTCAGGGTCCCGAGTGAAGCAATAGTAGCTCACATAGTATCGTGGATTTCACCAATACAGCTCAAGCAGATTGTCTCGCCAGCCAGCATTCTATGGACTGAACCAACTTCATCTATCTCCACTCCACCACCAGTTTCAGGCCCAGGGGGAAACATCCCTGTTCTCATACATTAAGCATATTAAAGTAAAATTCAGCTCTAATGTTTCCTGTCTAGGTTTCAGCACTAAAGTCTTAAAATAATTGTTTATTATTATTTTTTTCTGTGTTAGTTTTTCAGATTTAACTTATTGTGACACTCTTAGCTACACTTGACGGAAAAGGTCTGTGATTATTGGCAAGGGGTCTTTAGTTTCAATATGAAAGTCGACTTTTTGGTACACTCCTTCTTGCAGAACTACCTTAAATATGTTACCTTATTGGGGTTTTGAGCATAAACAGTATATTTAAGGTCATACCAGAGCATCTTAATTGGACTGTTGCATCGCATGAGTTTGTCCTGCAATGAGATGGTCCAGGTTTGAACCCTTGCTGTGTCCATCTCAGTCATTGTGTCCTTGAGGAAGACACTTCACCCACGTGTCCTACTGATGTTGGTCAAAGGGTTAGGTACCTCTTATGTACAGTAGCCTTGTTTCTTTCAGAGAGCCCCAGGATACCTGCAGCTACAATGTAGCTTTCCCCATTAGTGTGTAAGGGCTTTTGAGTCCCTTGACTTGCAAGGGGCTATATAAACGCAGGAATTTTGGGAGAGTAAAAGTCCAGTTTGACTAGGCTGCTTTACAATGTATTATTTTGTATTTTATACATTTGTTTTTGTGGCAACTTCCTGCCAGACTGTGCTGTCCTGGTGTCTCGGGGTGTGTTCTTCTAGGTTTTTCCATGTTGCGGCATAGATTGGCTCTTTACTTCTCCTCGCGACCCCAGCTGGGATAAGCTAGTTGGAAAATGGATGGATAAATCAGTTTTTCTCAATTTGTATTGGTGTGCTTTATATCATTGCCCTGCTGGGTAACTCAAATGCAGTTGAGCTCTTGGACAGAAATGATCTGCTGGACATTCGTCTTCAGGGCATTTTGGTAGGGTGCAGAATTACCTGCCAGATTGTACTTGTCCTAATCTAGTATTGCAACCCCAAACCATCCCATTAGATGTCGTTGCAATGCTCTCTTTGTTTTAAACCAGATGTAATATCAAGCACACCTTTAAGAATGTTCCACTTTTTTCTCCGAAATCCAAATGACATGTTTTTATTTGGGATCCAGACATTTTGGAAAGAGTAAGACCAAGCACCGTTTTATTCCATTTCAATAGACATTTTGTGAGAAAGTCTTAAATTTTACTTTCCTGCCATTTGACATAAAAAATCAACATCATATTGGATATAAATCTTCACAGACTGCAGAAAAATCTGATTAAATCATTGCATGAATGTAAAATTTTTGTTGCTTAATTTCTCATTGGTTTTTTCTTTGCAGTCACATTTTTCCTTCTTAGACTCATTAACATTGTGTTATTGTTTCTGTTATTTTAGCATTTTGTAGTTGCTTACATATTCTTTTATTAATGTGAAAAGAAAAACAAAAATGAATTTGATTCCTCAAGTGGCTAAACCTACAGTAAATTGAAGCCAATTAAAAAAGGGCAATTAAGAAAAATACAAGAGAAAACAATCATGGAAATTGATTTTCATGTGTTTTATTTTCTCCAAGAAGTCTTTTTATTGATAAAGGTTGATCCTTCTTTATTACTTTCAGGCCTGCTCTAGATTTGCTGCTGGAGCAGCTTTATCGTGACAGGAATCTGTAAACAAAAATAAATATTAACTTGTACATCTAGTCATGCAAGCATCCTCTTTTTGATAGAGTTTACAGAAACAGACCTGAGACCCCATCGTAGATGTATGGTTTGTCATGAGGCAGTCCCAGACACTCCGCCAGCTTCTTATGATCATCATGGGCGGCTTTATGTTGCTCCACATCCTGGTGTGAGCCCTTCTTCCCTGATTGACAAACAATACAGGATCATTTTGACAAAAAAAATCACATTGACTTAAAACACTTTCCATTAGTTTCAACAAATCCTCATTTAAATTGTAGCGTATTGATCATATTTATTAAACTGGAAGACAAGGAAAAGGGGTCCTGTCCTGTCCTGCTGGGACATACTTCATGGGATACACCATGGACTCCTGGGTGTCATTTAAACGCAGGCTGGCTGCGGTGGTTAAACTCAAAGGTGAGATGAGATAAAAACTTGGATGTGCACGCTCGCTTCAAGGCGGAAAATTCCTACACATTTAGAATATTGGATTTTGCCACGAAAGAGCCAGCAAGAAAAAGACTCAAGGCTGAAGGAAGTTCCTGTGCAGCCTTCTCTCAAAACAAAAAGTGTTATTCTGGATTCGACCTACCCCCTATATCTAATCTCCCCTGGATGTTATGGCGAAAGGTCACAGAAGACTCCTCCCCACCTCCCCTACCCACGAAACATCTGTGGATGCGCTCAGTGACTGTTGATAAACTTCCATCTTATCAAGGACATTGCCTGTGGTCCACGTTCATGGACATATTGGAAGCATTCATCATACACACAATAAATGTGTCAAATGTCAGATTGACTTCATGTGACTACGCCTCCAATGTGACCCTCTGCTGAAATGTCTGTCTTGTGTTACATGTGCTTTTCTTGTACAGAGGTTTTTTGATATCTGAAACTGTATCCTGTCAAGGATAAAGTGTGAAATATGCTTTTTTCCCTTCCCTTCCCCAATGTGGCTCCTATCTTTCCACAGAGATAAAGGCAACGCTATAGGTAACTGCCTGGGACCTGGGCAGCCAGGTAACCGGTGGGAACCTGGAAAGCCATAAGAATGCACCGTTCTGCCGAATGGTGGCGTTATGTGGCACATATGGGCTCTGTAAATCCGTTCCCCTCTCTCAGCTCCCCCACCCGAATGTATGTAACGTATTGTGATGAACTGTTGTAGTAAAACTGAAATTTACATTGCAATGTAAATTGTAGTTGACAATAAATACGTTTTGATTGATTGATTGAGTGATTGTATTTCTTACTGTAGCTAAGCAGGAAGTTGTAGGTTGGACTTTTGTAGGTCATCAGGAGACAGTCGGAGCAGCTCTCATAGAACACACTATGTGCAGTCTCATTGAGCTCCTGAACCACGCCATCCTTCTCGTACCCTAGTACACAAATACATATATAAGGTTCCCAGCACACTAATGCAATAGATTACATAAAAAATATAGTTAAGCTTCCTAAACAATAATACACATGAGACTTAACACTTCTGGTCTGGTTCTTAGATTGTGGAGAATGTGTAAGGAAAAAAGTACACATGATGAATCTTTCTACAAACACAATGTCAGCTGATCTTATTTTTTATAAAACCATGTTAAACTTTGCTTGTAAGTTTTAACTTAACTTTCCAGATGTGACAACTGAAGAATTTTATCTATTGCTTGATGAATTTGTGCTGTTCTTTTCATGGATTTAAAATTCACTATAGCATAGAAATAGCATTGGTGAAAATCACTCAAGTAATTTTTTTTAGGAATAATAATATGTGCTTGAATAATTTTCCTAACACACTTGTTTATTTTTTGAATACCAGAGTTCAGTGTTTAGATCAGGAAACAATAGTTGTTTTTTTGTTAAGCGATAAATTAGAAACCCACATTAACTTGCAATGTTGATGATACTCAGCTGTATTTATTCTAATGTTGTAGCCAAGGTCACAACCAAAACCAAGAAGTACAGAGACAATGCCAAGGCATTTAGAGGCCGAGACCACGACCACATCCAAGACCAAGACCAAGACCTTACATGGTCTTGGTCAGCTCCCCTTTGGACAGGGATCTCCACAGAAAGTCTTTGTAATTTGTATCTAGACTTGGCAGAAGTTTAAGTTGTTTTTTCTTCTTTCACCACCAAGATTCAGCTCACTTCCTCCATTACTTTAAATGGCACATAATATTTTAGGAGTACCATCTTTATTCTGATTCAAAGAATTGAAATTCTTTGGATAAAAAAAGTTAGAGATAATTTGGGTTATTTTAACTGAGCTAAAAAAGTGAATTTAATGTCAGCAGTGAGAAAACCTTTTACCTTTTATGAAGTATATCAAAACATCTAGATTCAACTTTATTTTTCCCACTGAGCCAAAATTGGTCAAAAAGACATTAAAAGGGCGACATGATTTAAGTCCAAATGATGTCTACATCTGGTTGAAAAGTTAAAGGTGAAAAGCTTTAATTTTCAGATTGCTGAAAAGACGCGAACTGGGTGTCCAACGTCAATATCTTTTCATTGTGTATTATTGGATTAAAGTGGGACAGAGTCCGGCCACCAAACACAGGCTAATTGTCTACAACAACTTTTGGACAAAATCAAGACTATGTTGGACCAACCAGATTTAGCCAAAAAACCATCTAAATAATGTCTGGTGTTAGGGGGCTTAGCTGTTACTCAGTGGCTCCCTGTTCTATACTGTAATTTAAGAATTTACAGGACACATGCAGCCTTTGTTTGAAAAAAAAAAATATAAATGACATAGTAACAAATGCATCTGATTTAGTCCTGTGCATTTTTTCGTAAATAAAGCCTTATAATAGGGTCTTACAGTTAAAGCAGTTAGTAAGAGATATGTGGTGGTTCTTTTATTTTCTGAGTGGTAGATTTTATCAGAGAACGGATTTACTAAACACTTTTTAGTAAACCATCTTTTTGGGTTTACATTTGTGTGCAACTTACTCGTAGAATGATGCGTCATCGTGCTATTTTCAGCGTCGTCAGATGGAATCGTTATTATAGCACTGAAGGTGTAGCAGCCATTGCTGGACGTTCATAACATAGGTGTGCAGAAGATGAGGTTAGATTTAACTCAATTGGAAAACATCAACAGAATGCTGAGCTTCAAAGCCCAAGAAAAAGTCTTATTAAATCTACTCTGAGCAACACTATTACCATCTGAGTCTTTGTTTCATCCTTTTTTTCAATGTAATAACTTACGTGAGAGTGTTTTTCTCGATGTACTCAATTCTGCTGTCATTGAGGAGTTTCAACACAAGCTGGGAATTGGTCACGTTTTTCAGCAAATCATGGCCCATGTCGTCAGAGACGGACCAGACCAATACCCATTCACCATAAATCTGCAGAAATAAAGAATCCACAAAAAGTTATCAACCGTGTAAAAGGTTAAAACAAATTTATGTTTATTCCTGCCAAGAATAGGCGTAAAGCAAGCTATGAATTACTGCAGTATAAAAGCTGACAAACCCAAGTTTTAGAGCAAATCTAGTAAAGGCTACAGAAAATGTCTTCAGTAAAATGTGTGACAAATCGGATTCTTACCCCAGAAACAAACTCACCTTATCAAGATTTTTACTGTCCAGTTTTTTGGCCAGAGTCTGGCACTCTTCTGCAGATGAAGCTGCAGTGGAGCCAATCACTGCTAACAGCAGCAACAGTGATAACTTTGCCAGACTCATTGTGTTGTGAGACTCAAAAAAGACAGACAGTCACTGTTAACTCCTGGTCAATTTATAAAGATGCTGGGTGTTTGCTGGCCTTGGGACGGTACAAAGATAATGTTTATTCAGTGAGTAACTTACATAAGATTCACCCTTTGATTTGTGCTGTTTTTCTTAGTTATTCTATGGACATTTTTGAGAAAAAGGACGCTCCAAAGGACTTGTATCATCATTATCTAACACAAGGGTTTATGATCAGCCGTTTACTATTGACAAGCCAGAGGAGACCTTCAGAAACTCTAGCTTTAGACTGCAGGGGAAAATTTTGAAAGAGGTTTGGAAAATTACTGTTTAAAGGGCTGGTTATAGTCCCTGCAGCAGTGTGTCGCAGTGAGCTTGATGTAGACATTTTTGATTTATTCTCAGTTTGAGCATGGTCTGTGCTATAGGCTGTGGGTCTAGATACGGCCAAGGCGATGAGGAAGTGGGGGCAAGTTTGTCCGACAACAGAGGGAGACGAGGGCTCTTTTTCGCCTGCGTTCTTGCGCACCTCGCTTTTCTAGCTGGTCCAACTTCTAGAGTTGTTTTCCGCAATTGCGGTCGTAAAAACAAAAAAAAAGCCACCCTCCTGTCTGCGGCACTGTCTGAGGTCACCTACAATTTGGAGGAGGGGGCGGGGACGTCTTTTTGTTCTGTGTGACACTTATGAAGACGACCTAGTTTCGAAGTATAAATCAGCCTTAAGGCCTTACACATAAAAAAGAATAAAAAACAATGAAGACCAGAAAGGAAACTGACACGGGTTTTACTCAGTTTATGATATTTCCCTCTATCATAAGACCAATCCCAATGCTCCTCCTAGTCCTACCCCTAAATTCTGCACTTTCCCATGAAGGTAGTGATTTCCAAGTTCCTCTTTGCACCCAGCGGTAGTGGACATAATTACCCCATTAACACTACCCTGTAAATGAGATAACTGTTGAGTGTAAATGAAACGCAAACTAAACCAGACCGTGCCAGACACAACCAAACCGCGCTAAACTAGTACAAATTCAACACTATGGCTTGCCGCAGTTTTATTATTGCTCGGTTCTCTGATAAAAAAGAGTGCAAAAGACTGCCTGGAAAACAGAGACGACAAAATAGATAAAAAAAAAACAGAACAAAACAGCGACTTTGGAGCGCTATCCTCACTTTTGATAACAAGAATGAGCAGCTCATAAGCCGCTGCCAACAGAGAAGACTGTTTCTGATGATGGTATGTTCTCACCCAGCCTGGACCATAAAATATTTTGTTGATATAATTCAAGCGGATAACAGGCATTTGATTATATTAGTACTTAATGAAGATGTGGCATCACAGGTCACGCCATGTGTCCCTGTGCATGTTGATGCAGAACAGATCATTTGACTGGTGGGATACCATTGTCCCATGCTTCACAGCGGGACAACTTAAGAGTCTTCTAAAACCAGAGCTAAAAAAAAAGTGACTCGAACTCTTGCCTTTTACCCCATTTACACTACCCTTGAAAAACCGATCCATGCCGAGACCGGTCCGAGCTCGGATCAGTTAACCAGGCCGAGCTTGGTTCTGACGACGTTTACACATCACGCTATCTCAGTTCCTCGACTCCTCGCCTCCTAGTGAGGATCTGCGGTATTACTGCCAGTACTGAAGGAGGAAATCAAGCAGTTGGTGGCGGTAATGCACCAAAAGTTGTTTGCGGCCTCAGTCTCGGCATCATCCCAGGTCGCACCACGCTCTTTTGAAGTCATTATTTAAAATGTTGTGTGGAGAAGATTTCGATTGTTGTTTATAGTTGTTCTTTTTCTTCTGTTTTGTGTTAGATGGCAAGCAACTTCCGGAGGGGCATTACCGCCAACTACTGGAATGGAGTGTGAATCGGGATGTGCAGCCAGACGGAGATGATGCGTTCTGCTCATGCGCTCTTGTTATCAGCCAGGGAAAAACCGAGCCGAGCCCACCTCTGGAACTGGTCTACAGTTAGCTCAGTTCGGTTGTGTCTACCTCCGTTCAGTTCAGTTTGCTTTCCATTTACACAAGATAATTTATCTCAGTTACTGAGCTCGGACCTGTCTCAAATATGGGGTATTTGTGACCCATTGCCCAAAAGGATTTGAATAGATCTGTGGAAACTGTCATGTTGGTTTTTAGTTTTTTTACCCACATGCACAATCACACAGAGAACCAGTTAATTTTTAATGATTTAATTACAAAAGCAACAAGAATCTGAAAGCAGAGAACTGCAGGAAGTGAGTTGAACTTTCTGGTTGGTCTGAGAGGAAAATGCAGACTGATCAGGAAGGAGTTGGTTGATGAAAACTGATGACTGATTGATTTGAAGGGGAGGTAGCATGGATCACTTTTTTATCATCAATGTACAAAACCTTAGATAATGAATCACCCAACCTTTAGACAAACCTTTCACTTAACTTTATAAATTAAATTCTTTCAATGTTGGTGTAAACCAGGCCAGATTTTTAGCACTGATTTGAAAGTTTCTGTGTTTACAAATTAAACAGGCATATGTTTCTAATCTCTTGCTGCCTTATGTGTCCTCGAAATCTGTTAGGTCTAATGTCCACTTCTGTTTAGTTGTTCCAGGGTACAGGACTGCCCACAGAGGTGATTGGGCCTTTTCAATTGCAGCTCCTAAAATGTGGAACCAGCTGCACCTTCATATTACACAGGATTCAACCATCTGTGTCACACATTGGCAATCTCTGGTGTTTATGACCATTACATCATTTTAATTTTTTTAAATATCTTACATAGTGTTTGTATTTGTTTAAATTATCATTTATTGTTTTTTCTTTTTGTGCATCATTTTAGCCAACTCCAGTACTTCTTAAAAGTGCAATATAAATAAATTCAATTTGATACTTTTGCTCTAATCCACTGCTTGTGTCCAAAATTATTTTTAAGGAAGCATTTATTAGATCCGATGAAAAGTATGAGATCATAATGCCAGGTTGATTGCTTTGTTTATTTAATGCTGCTAATATGCTCTTGGGTGTGAGCAAAACAAACAACAGTGCTTTGAACAATAAAATAATTATAAACGAAGTACAGTTTCCAAGGTGAGAGAAGATACACTTAAAACCAAAAAAAAACAAATGAAAGAGAAAACCACGGGTAGCAATTTTGTTGTACCAGCAGCAACGTTTTCAGAAATAAAAACAAGACATAAAACCACTAAAGTAAGTAGGATAACATCCAGGGACCAATTTTGAGAAGGCAAGCTGACAGTAGACAAAAAAACTGTTGTCCAAACTATCGAAAGAAAGAGTATCGTATAAGCAGGCTGATTCAACAACAGTTTTAAGTATGATGGAACCTAATCACTTAATGCACATTAGTTATTTAAATATTTTAATGATCCGATTTGCACCTTTAAGGCATTCCTTAATTATTTTCTATGTGAGTTGTGGTACATAGTGTAGGTCAGTTGTTATTGCATGCTTTTCCTCCATCTGTAGATAAAAAATAATATCCTACACGGTTTGCACAGAGGAACATATTGTCTAATTCCACACTCGTCTTTTTCGGCCAAAAACAGGAACGAAGCTTAAGCAATAATTATATCTGGAAAACTCTTTTCAACGAACCACCTGTCATGTTCCTTATTCAGCTCCAGACAATCAACTCTGGGATTGCACCTCTTCTGAAGCCAATCATCTTTTAAAATCCCCTTAATTTAGCTCCTGTCCGTCTCTCTCCCGCAGGCAAGCAAACTTTGACCCACTTTCACCCCATCTCCTCCCTCACACTCAGACTATGCTCAGTTCCACTCATCCTCTGGCTTAATTCACCACCAGTGAAAGAGAAATGGCTACTCTAATCCTTTTTATAAGTTGCTCATCCATGCAAATGTTCATTCACAGCATCAAAGTATTTTGCTGGCGCCCGAGCACCAAATATCTTATTTCATTTATGTCATTTTCTGATTCCAACTCCTTGAGCCCCAGTCGGCCTCGACTCACGCTAAGCCTGATTCTGCTGGATGTTTCTTCCTGTTAAAAGGGAGCTCTCCTCCCCACTGTCACTACATGCATGCTTGATGTGAGGGATTGCTGGAGTCAATCAGTCGATGAAATCAGTTGGTTTCCTTAGATAAAACATTTTAAAGAATCTGATTGTATAACTTGTTTAATTTCTTCTCTTGTAAACTTTAGCTTTACGTGCAGCAGACAATCCTGATCTCTGCATTATAGAAAATTGCAAACATTTGTTAGAAGCTTGTGGAAGGAAACCCCAAAACATATATTTAAAATGTGATTTCACCAAAGAATCTGTCTTCACTTCTTCATTATTCTGGCATTTAACAGCTGGCAATTATTCTAGTTATACCAACTGACCTTAAATAAATAAATATGACCCAAAAAGATATATGTTTTTGTTTTTTTACAGTCTGTATGAATATGATAGTATACGTTGTCAGCTGTGTAAACATGCATATTTTGTTTCTGGGAAATTCTAAATTATTAAATGTAACACAACCCCAAATACTAACATTCATTGCTCTTTGTAATCTTGTCTTTTAATTGCACACAGAATAAAAGGATTATGCATCTGGAAATAAACCAAAAGCTTCCTTAAAGTCTTGTTTAGACATTTTATTGATATGGGAATGTGACAGGTATTGTGGTATCGTGTTGGTTGTGGGTGGTGTAACACAATCACACAAAGGTTCTATATTTGATTAGCTTTACATTTTGTCAGAATTTTTTCTAAAGCTCCTTTTTATTAAAACAAATTTTCGAAATTCAGTAAATTAGCTGTAGTTGGATGGCCTCGAATCTACAGAGTAGGTGGAAGAGTGATGCCCTCATCTTCTTTGCAAAAACCTGCAGAAAGAAACCAGAGTAACATGAGTTTTTTCTTACAATTCAATCCAGGGGGCTCATTGTGATTTAAGCGACTGGAGCAGAGAAACCTCAAAGCTACGTACCTTTCTCAGGATTGTAGTGAAAGTCTAGTTCTCCGGAGAATCCGAGGCAGCTCGCCTGCTTCTTAAAATGTTCTAGCTCAGAATCCGTCAGGGTCTGTCTCCTGCCTGGAATTAAAGTTAAAAATTATTAAATATAATTTTCTTGTAAAAGAGAGGCGGATATTTTAAAAGTG